CTGCACATAGTACCTGCTAAAGAGCTCACTTCGGATGAGATCACCAATGAAACAATTGTTTCAACTGTAGATAATATTCGACAGCTGTACTTCATCAAGGGAGAATGGCCAAAGAACAATATCAGTGAGTTCCTTTATCAGGGTTGACAAGTGACATCTGGCACAAACTATGACATTCCAGCCTATTATGTGATCGGTGGTGGTATTAAGACTGCAATTATCCAAGATAACGTCGCTGCCACGAACGGTATCGTACACTATATCGAGCGAGTGCTAGGTGTACCCTATCAATCACTATGGGAAATTCTGAGAAATGAGACGCGACTACAGTAAGCCCTATACGGTACTGTAAGAAACTCGAATCGATAAGCGATTGTTTTGCAGGAGATCGTATGAAATGCTGAGAAATCTGCAGCTACGATATGCGCTAGATCCATGGCAAGTGCTAACCCCCGAGCAAAACTTCACCTTTTTTGTACCCACCAACGAGGCGTGGGACACAAAGGTAACTTCAAAAATCCTACTTGTGCATACTAACTCAACTAATTATCTAGGTTGCTCCCTCATTACGAGCTCGTATGAATGACGGAAATCATTGGTTAGCGTTACAATACGTCTTCAAACGGCATGTCATACAAGGACAGGTTTGTGAAAAAAGAACTCAGAGACTTGGTCATTCACCCGAAATTAACTATTTCTAGGCTCTGATGTATACAGATCTCCGTGAAAGAACCTATGTAATGATGAATGACGAAAAAGTAGTGATCAGAAGGAGAGGACGATGTGAGTTTCTCGTGAAGGATTCATAATTGTCAGGATCGCTTGTTAGAGACCGATAGCAAAAAATATTCTTCGCTTCAAAATCATTACTGCAACCAAAGGACAGGGGGGCACAATTCAACTAGAGTTGGAACAGAAACGACGTGAAGAATAGGACCATTTCAGATAACGCGCATCATAATGTAACTGTTCTAGAGGAATACCGCATTGATTGAGTCTTGGCGCAAAGTACAAATTACTTTTGCTCACTGCTTGTAAGCAAAAAATAATGCTCAGTATAAACCTCAAGTATCATTTTACCGCTTAAAGGTAGCGGCTCGGTAGGATTTCGTTCTCCAGTTTTCCACCTTTTCGGGACCTTCTCGCCATGAG